CCCCAAAACCCCAAAACCCCAAAACCCCAAAACCCCATATTGGTTTCAACATATTGAAATTAGATGATTCGAATTCTCTATTCACTATGAGCATCAACAAGTTGTTCAATAAGCTTAATGCTTTGCTCAAGTCCTTGTGATTCCTCCTGCTTCTCTTTTAGTAATCTTTCAAGCTCTTCATTCTGCTGTCTTAATGCTTGATCTTCTTTTTCTTGTCTTCTGATCTCCTCTTGTCTTGAGTCCACATCACTTCTAATTTCAGTGTTGAGGATTTTATAGTTTGAGTAAATCTCAAATTTGGATTGCAAATCATTCTCTTTGCCTAGATATACTTAGAAACCAAAATTAGATCTACCTTTAGCATGAATGAGTCTGGTCTTGATATCATCTTCATCCTTTGAAGCTTGGGTGATAAGGTGTCTCAGCTCCTCAATCTCTCTTTTATTTTCCCGAAGTTTGAGCTCATCATAAGGAGCTTTTGATTTTTGCTCAAGAAGTTCTTCTGTCTTGTCAAGTCCGAGTTGCTGTTATTTAGATATAAATTCTTACTTTAGCAAGCTCCTCAAGATTCACTGTATCTTTATTGAGTCTATACAGAGACTAATATTTCACTAAGCAATTTGAAGTCGCTTGGCTACTGATGCAGTAACATAATTGTATTCTTATTAATAAAAACAGTTAAAAAATTGTTAGTCCCCATCTTTTACCTTGTGAATTCTTGAATAAATTGCTCAATACCTTCGTATTGTACCTTGAGGTCTAAACTTTTAAACTCTAAATCACACCTTTAAGGGCTCTTTCCTGGTTATTGTGATACTTAGAGTATAGCTCTTCTTTATGCTGCACAGAGTCTTTATGATCTTTGTCTTGTTTTTCAAGTTCTCTAGTATGATCTTCAATAGCAAGATCTTGTTCAAAAAGCAGTCTCGTCTTGTCTCTTACAGCTCCATCTTTTTCTGTATTCTCTTGAGATAATTTAGCCATGACTTCTTCTTGCTGCTTCATTGTATTTGTCTAGAAAAGTTTGGGTTTAGCCAAAACGAATCTTACTGTAGGCTCTAAGCTAGTCTCCAATGGACCGTTTAGGGTTTTTGAAATTATACCAAAGTCTTCTGATTCTTCGTTCAGCTTGTCTATTTGTTCACCAATTTTTGTGAACTCTTGCTTAAGTCTATAAGAAGGCTAGCAAGGATAATCCTTACTCTTCGGGAATTTGGTTTTTCAGATCCATATTAATTTCAAATGATATTATGCTTTTAAATTTTTTGTAATTTTTAGGGGTTTTGGGGTTTTGGGGTTTTGGGGTTTTGGGGTTTTGGGG